AAAAAATAAATATAGCAGAAAAGAAAAAAAAACTATATAAAAAACTACTCAAAAATAAATAGAAGAAAAAATAGTTGTGATTAACTTTACTAAAAAATGAGCATAGATGCTTATTTTTAATGACTTATTACCACACAGAAATAAATAGAAAAAAATAAATATAGCAGAAAAGAAAAAAAACTATATAAAAAACTACTCAGAAATAAATAGAAGAAAAAATAGTTGTGATTAACTTTACTAAAATATTTTTTATTTTTAATGACTTATTACAACTCAGAAATAAATAGAAAAAATAAATATAATAGAAAAAATATATAAAAACTACTCAGAAATAAATAGAAGAAAAAATAGTTGTGATTAACTTTACTAAAAAATGAGCATAGATGCGCTTATAGAGAAAATTTAACCTAAATTCATAATAAATTTCTACTAACTTCAGAGAAATTCAGTATGAATTTAGGTCAAATTTCCTGTATAAGGGCATCTATTTTCATTTTGAGAGGAGGTCAACAAGGCAGAGAGGGAGGGGCTTATAAACCGGTGTGAGCCCCCTTTGGTTGGCGAGGTGAGACTAAACTCTGGCCGCAATGAGGACCAACCCTTTAGTCCCGGTTGGTGGTATGAACCGGGACCAATGGGCGGCCTTTGGTCCCGGTTCATGCCTCCAACCGGGACCAATAGTGGTGGGCCAGGAGCGAGGATCATTGGTCCCGGTTCGTCCCACCAACCGGGACCAAAAGGTCCAGACGAACCGGGACCAATGGCCCACGTGGCCCAGCCGGCCCCCGGGGCTCACGAACCGGGTCCAATGCCCCCATTGGTCCCGGTTCTGGATTGGACCGGGACTAATGGGCTGACCCGGCCTGGACCATAGCCCCTTTTTCTACTAGTGGTAATTGGACAACCGGATCTTATAAGAGGCCAATAGTATACCCTCTATTCCTGCAAAATAAAATAAATATTAGAATCTTGTAAACATGGGAAGTAGAGGATTCAGGCATTAAGAAACGTTTTCACCTCCACCTAGGATCGACTCCCACAAAGGTAGGGTTTCACCGCCTCCTGCCGCTGCCGTCATCGATCTATTTGAGGCACGATGGATCCAAGCACTTGCCGGTGAGAGGGCTCCCTTTAGATGGAATAAGATTCTCCCTGTCTAGCCCCATCCCGGCGATGTGTCTCGGATCATCGGAGTGCGCGTGGAGGTGTGTATTTGGCGGATCTCGCGGGATTCGGTGTTTGTCTTGGATGGATCCACCTAGAATCGGTCTTCGGTAGTCTGCGTTCATGTGTCCATGGATTTGATCCTTCTGATCAGCGCTCCTCTTCATCTGCGACGGGTGCTCTTTTGGTCCTTTGGGGCCTTAGCATGATGACTTTTTGACTATCTACTACAACAAGGTTTGCCCGACTCGTGTGATGGAGGGGTGATAACGGCTATGAAATTCGGTGGTGAACTATCATGGCGTGAACTTAAGTTTTTTTTGAACACAGTACAGACGCAAGCGCTCATATACACGCACATACACTCACCCCTATGAACGCACACACGCACACCTTACCCCTATGAGCACCTCCAAAAGACTGAATGTGCATCGCCGGAAATCCTGAAATAAATCCAGGAATATATGCGAGCACCAGGACTTGAACCCTGGTGGGCTGGGGATACCATAGTCCTTCTAACCATCCAACCACAGGTTGGTTCACACGTGAACTTAAGTTTTAAAATATGCAGTATCGTTTAGAGGATCTATTCGGCCGTGTCGTGCGTGGTACCGCCTATTTGTTTTAGGGACGTGACTTGCCTGCTCCCCCGTGTGTGCCCATTTGTGCTCCCGCGTATGTGGCTTGATTTGATTGGAACAAAATAAGGCCCGGACCCACCCCCTTAAAATCAGGGGGGAAAATGATTAGATTAGAAAAAAAAAAGAAAAAAAGATAGCCGTAGGATGAAGTGGGAGCACGGATGGGAGCATGGGGAGGGAACAGGCAAGCCGGATCCTTGTTTTAGAGGATCCCTCAAACAAATTTTAATGGTACAGATTTTTTAACGGATCTACTATAGTTTCTCTCATGGTTGCCATGGTGCCGACAGCCACCTAATCTGAAGGTGGTAGGGCCACCCGTGCGCTACTAGCAGATGGGCGTGGTGGCCTTGGGCCCAGTCGTGGCATTTTTCTCATTGTCACAATCGCAATATTGTCTTTGAGGAAACAAGGGGACATATGTAACTTTGTGAGGAGATGTGATAAATCAGGAATATGCTGCATTGCTAATATCCGGCCATGTGAGGCTTAATTTCCTTATGCTATTCAAATATGTAATAATTAGTTGAGGCCACCCTATTATGGTTCCAAGTTGTTGCCTTATAAGGGAGTTTGTTTGGTTGAATTTAGCTTATACCGATAATTTTAAGGTTCCTCGGTCTCAATTTACGGTTGAAATCTAAAAAGATAGTAAGTGAAACTCTAGCAGAGTCGTCAAAAGTACAACCTCCGTAATTATTGTGGAGTGCATTTCAAAAAATCAGAGAGTCTATATTTGTTGTATCTATAATCAAGGGACCCACTCGACAATAAGACATTCCTTTTTCCCTAACCTCCCTGGCATCCCAAGTGAGGGAGGTGGGAGGGCAACTGAAGTTTCCTACAGGCCACACGGAACTAGACGTAACTGTTATATGGAATGCACTCCAAAAGGCAGCCTCGAGATGCCATAAATGAAGACCGGGAGGCCAAATAGTGAGGACGCTCCATAAATTATGGCGATCCCTGACAAGATGGCAACTCTGTTAGAGTGCTTTTTAAGAACAAAATTGACATAAGAGCGATTATTATGGCAATCAGGCAGATATGGTAACTCTGCTAGAGTTGCTCTAACACCATCGTAGTGCGCGACCGCAATACTGAAAATATTCTTCCTGAAAGTATAAGCATTCAACACTATTGAACAAGCACATGCCCAAAGTAAGCACTTTGGTAAGGAGTATGGTGATCAGAGATTTGGATTTCGTCCGGAATTTTCAATTTTCGTCCGAAATCCGCTCATTTCGTCCAGGCCCGGTATAAATATAAGCCGGCTGAATATTTCGGCCCATATTGAATTTCTGGCCCAGCCCATGATACATCGTAGGTTGCAGATGTGCCCCGATGGTATAAAAGTCGCTACTGAAGCCCCGCAACCCTAATTCTAACCTCGCGTCCTCCACATCTCTCCACAGAGTGGCGGCGGCTGCGCCGACGCAAGCCGATGGAGGCTTGTCAGCGTCTTCTCCTTCCATTCTTCTCCACCGGCCGACTGTCCACATCCTTCTCCTCGTGCAGTCGTGCTCCTACTTCGCACCACTTCTTCTATGGCAGCGCTAGAGAACCAGATACTACGTGCTTGTGAGGGCCAGCCTTTTCTACTGCTTTTCGGATTGTTGATTCTGAAATCCATTGATTCTGCTTTGGTTTTCCTCCAGTTGAATGTAACTCTGCTGTACGTTTTGGTTCTGATTGGTTCAAACCTTTTTGAGGAATTTTCTGTCATTTTCTTCCAAATTTCAAATTTTAGTTTGAGATTTTCGTCCGAATTTTTTCCGAAATACCGAAATTCGCCCATTTCGTTCTGGCCCGGTAAAAAACCAAAAACGAAATCCAAAATCTTGATGGTGATTTGGATCCAGGGCTCCGCGGAGGCTGGTGTTTCTGAAAATATAATAAGAACCATAGTTGAAAATAGAATAAGGTTTTTTACCAGCAAAAGAAAAGAAGAAAATATTTTGGAGACCTCATACAAATACATCCAGAACAACAACAAAACTTTGTAGCCCATCGGGCCATAGGCCCATCTGTGAAGGCACGATCAATTTTGATTCCGTTTCCGGTTTTGGCTCACGATCAGTTCTAAAATATCTAGGTCGACGACCGCGGAACAACATCGACCAGCCGCAGCCGCAGCCGCAGCCGCTGGCTGCTCCGCCGCCGTATCAATCCTTCCCCGGCTTCGGCGCGGGCCTCTGCACCTGCGCTGCCAGTTCGATCGACGACGACCGCGTCCGCTCTACATGTACTCTGCCAAATAGCACAAGCGCAGGTAAGTGTACATGCCTGGCCTCATCGATCAGAACAGAACTCGTAGTTGGATATTGCAAAGAGGACAAAAATTTGCACTTGCTGCCTGAATGGTTACTTGGTTAGCATACCCATACCATACATCGATCACCAGTAAATCAAAAAGACAGGCACCGAAAGCTAAGCGCTTTGATTTTGGCCTGAATTTCCCATGATCTTTAAAAAATAGATTTGCCTCCTATATTCCATGTAATATGCACACCATTATGGGGCTGCTCTTTATCTTCTTTAAGCACTTCTATTTTATCTTTTTTGTCCAGGCAAGACGTGGACTTTTTATTTTATTTACCTTCTATGACCGTGGTAATGTTATACTGATGTGTGTCATGTACTCATATCAGTCGGTACCATTTTAATTTCTTTATATGTTGCACAAGTGGATGAACTACCTACATAATCATATATAATGTAACTCATGAACACCAGGGAAAGTGACCTAATTTCTTGTTTTCTCATGCATAGTCATGGATGTTTTTTTCAAGTGTTCCAATAAATACTTTCAGTCCGTCCCTGTTTCGCATTCATCTGCATTCGTAACCGGCACTATTTATATTTGTGTCAGTACTGGAATTCCTAATTCTATTTCTTCTTTGGATAAATGATTAGCCCATTCTGACAAATTCTGCTCCATTTTCAACCCTAGCTAGTAGCCACCCTCGTTTGTTAATAGGAAATCACATTGTTTTCCAACACGCACAGTTCAACTATATACAAGCGGAGGTAGATTGTTAGGACCTCATGGGACGGGATACATTTTGTTTAGTACAACTGCATGTTTTGAACCAATGTATAAACTGCATCTCAGTTTTGCTAGCAGTCGCTTCGTTCTAAATAAAATGGATCATTTACCATAGAACTTATTACTTGACATGTTCAATTTTTTTTATGTTGATCTTGTCAATTTTTGCTTCCAGGAATCTGCCACAAAATATGGAGTCGAAGAGGGTGAACATTGTTGATTGTCTAACTGATGATATATTGGTGGAAATCCTCTCTCGAGTGCCACCCAAGTCTTTTTGCCGCTTCAAATGTGTGTGCAAGGCTTGGCTTGCCTTCTCCTCTGATCCTCTCTACCGTCGGAAGCTGCCAAAAACTTCCACTGGTCTTCTCTACAAACCTCAATACGGGTCTGCTATTCAGCTTGTTGGCATGTCCCCAAATGATGAGGAAATTGATGGAGCTTTTACATTCATCCCTCAGTACGAGCAATTAGAACTTGTGGACTATTGCAATGGCCTGGTACTTTGCCGGTACAAGAGCAGATATACTTCTGCAGAAACTTGCCGCTTCATTGTTTGCAACCCAGCAACACGAGAGTGGAGGACGCTGCCTATTCTTAATACTCCATATGGCCCAAATGTCTCCCCCTATACAGCTTTTTTGGCCTTCGATCCATCATGGTCGGGAAAGTTCTATGTCTTCAACTTTCAGGAGAAGTTAAAAAACAACTTGCCACTTGTTATCTACAAACTTGAGGTGTTCTCGTCTGACCTATGTGAGTGGCTTGTCGATGATGCATGGAGTGGGAACCATAGGATAATGGTCAATAAACCACACAACTTTATAGGTGGGGTGTTTCATGTGCATAGCAACACTAGTGAGATTCTTGTGGTTAAAGGCTTGAGTTCTGGCATAATGCCATATCATTATACTATCAAGCTGCCGGGTGACTGTTGGAATGGTTGCTTCAGCCAATCAATGGGGCTTTTGCAGTGCGCATTTCCAGAGGAGGGCGGCAGTACAATTGCAGTTTTCACTCTTGATGATTATCGTCCTTGCAAGTGGTCTCTAAAGCATCGTTTTTGTATGGGAGATGCATTTGGAAGGGACAACTTCCTTCCCAACCGAGATTATCTGTCCTGGTTGTGTTTTTATCGGATTGTTGCTCTTGACTTGGAAAGAGGGGTCCTCTTCCTCGTTGACAAGGAGTCAAATAAGCTTTTCTCATACAAAACTAGCACAGGGCAACTTAGTGAGATTAAAGATGGTCGCCTCGGTTGGACCTGGGAATGCTTTTATTACGTGGCATGCTACTCAAAGCTCCCAGTGCTGAGCCGTTTATGTGATGTAATTGAGTAGTAGCATGTCTTTGTGCATCTTCTTTTTCCTAACATTGCAGTGGATGCATGCCCCTGTTTCTCCTTTGTACGCACGAAAACTGGCTAATGATATTTAATTGTGGCACCTATTTCCAATTTTGCGCATGTCTGAATTTGTTTTCCACCGTTCAGAATTAGCACCATCATATGGAAATATAATTGGAAGAATGGCACATTAGTCATCACAGTATATATAGCGGTCTAAGCACCAAACCAATCCGTGAAACCACACTCAGTTTTGATTCCGTTTGCAAATGGGATTAACTTGCTGACGAACTCTCTCATCAAGCAAACTGGCTGCGGTTGGTATGGTTAATCACATCTCATGTTCTTGTTAGTGTTCTTTAAG